TGTCCACCTACTAGACCACACGTGAGTCTGTCGTCGAACTCATCAGATCTCTGCACGTACTTTCGTTCGTCAGCTATTTGGTTGACATAAGTGTCTTGTTCAAAAATACCCTCCTGCATCTTTGCATTGTATGACTGTAACAATGTCCTAGCCAAAGCGGTAGATTTTAAAACCAGCTAAATGCACTTTCGTACCGAGAAATCTCCTGCTTCGGTTCAAAAGAACTGAACAGCTAAATCACTGCCTTTCGTTGGCTATAGTGGTTTTCAGATCGAACGTGAAGTCTTCTACTTTGAAATTCATGCCTGAGTGCGTAACCACGACAGAATTTAGACACATAAGTTTTGCTCATAAGCAACTCGTTGTGGCCAGCAAGATACTTGTTTTTTGTATGAAAAAAAACTCTCAAACGGGTAAAATTCCGGGGAAAGTAACACTTCCTCAACATTCATGTGAAATGGCCTTGATTTTCAACCCACTTATTCTTCCCGGGCAAAAGTGTCACAAAGAATGAATGAACGCACATTTATTTTTTAGTGCTGCTCAAACAGATATTCCGCGATGTACTGAATTTTCTTTGACTGACTACAGTCGTGGACGGAGAAAAAACTGCTGACAGGCTATTACCGTGTGCACTGTGCTGGGGTTCACACTAGACTCAGAACGCACCACATGAAGTTCACCTAGTCAACAAGGAGGACAAGGGGGATTCAAACAAATCTCGGCTGATTGCTTCGCTTGTGAGTAGTGTTTGGTCAGGAAAGCGTAGCACACCAACTGAAAAATGAAGCTCCATTGTTGGGGACAATTAGTTGGCGGTTACGATAACACCCACGTTAACATCAACCTTATATGCAAGTCAACGTATTGCCTCCGCACAGATTCCGATGTTTAAGTAGAAAATAACTTTGGTGATATCTTGAGGACTGCGCCCGTTTCTTGAATAGTGAGGTAGGTGAGACAAGTCATGAGATGTCGTGGAGCTTTCTGAACCTGTAGTTCAAAAGGGCGTTCATGAAAACTGACTTGAGACGAAAGTACACCTCGGCTTCAAAACGTGTTTAGGCTACAGTGCAGCCACGTCTGTTTTTGACCATCAGAGGATATGCTTTACCCAAACTTGAAATTTGACTGTCCAAGCTGTCTGCCTATGAAATCAGACAAACTTATCGGGACGGTAAAACACAGAGCGGAACCTTCTGAAGAACATATTGTGGTGCATTCACTCCGATGTCTTTCAAAAAATATATCAGGTTAGATTTTAAAATGCAATACTGTGCAATCAGTTGGATTGCTCCTGTGGACCCTTTTGGTATTGGATTGTGCAAAACTAACCCCAGGTTTTTAGCTATAAGTGAAGCGATACTAGTCATATCAAACCTGCTTGAATATGTGCACCAAACCCTGGCTTACTCATCACATGCAGCGTGTATTATCAGTTCGATTTAGCCTACAGTTTGGCAGCATTGTGGAATACCACAGAAAACAGATGAAGGAAAACCTCCTGAAGATGTTTACCGAAATAGAATCACGTAGCCTGCATTTGGTCATCACTCAATATGTTCTTGAGAGTATTCACACAATAAATCCAGCAGAAATGCTTCAAGCATTTTCGGTACAATTTAAGTCACGTAAATTGCAATTATTGAGACGGTTGCAACAACGTTTGATTCTATCTTACCAGCATGTGGGCCTGATTCAGTTCAGGCCTATGAACTTGATAGGAGTTCCTGCGTCTTGTCCATCGCTGCGCTCCTGGATAAGCCAAAGCGCTTGACATAATGGTAATATTTTCAAGTCATACAATTGCAAAGGTTAAGAGAGTGGTATTTAACATATTTGAATGAGTATGGTGCAAATGGACAGGAAATCGAGTGAAAAATTTATTACAAAACATTTGATCAGGGAAGAAGCAAACACCATCACAGCCACAGCTGGAAGGAAACCAGTTTACATTAGCCTCCCGTTTAAGGGAGATATACCGGCCGATCTACTGAACAGAAGATTTTCCACCAGTCTGAACAAAGTTTTCTCGGCCGCAAAACTCCGAGCCTGGTTCACCAGCAATCGTTTGTCCCCCTTTAATCTCAAGGATAGAGTGCCTGTCCACGCCCAAATTATGTTAGTTCACTCATTCTCTTGCTGCTGTGCAGCGGAATACATCGGACGCACGACTAGGCAACTCAGCCAAAGAATGAAGGAACACAATCCACCATGGCTAGCTTCTGGAACCAGGAGGGCGATAACCAGCTCCGTAGTACAACATTTAGCTGACACTGCACACAACGTGATACCCAGTCAAAGTTTCCGCGTTGTTTGCAAGGCGCCGGCTAACCAACCCAGATCAATACAGCAGCGCACAATTTCAGTGGCTGAAGCTATCGCCATACGACATCGCGACCCGATCCTTTGTCGGCAAAAACGCTTTGTTCGTGTGTTGTACTTAACATGGTTCAACTCACCTCCCCCCCCCACATGCATCGTGTGCTGAACACACAACTACAGCACCCCCCGAACTGACTAGCTCAAGTCATCCTATTGGCGACCTGAACTAATGGTTCTTTGATAGGTAGCCAATGTCATCTCACTCGATTCCCTGTCCATTTACACCATACTCATTCAAATATGTTAAATACCGCTCTCTTAACCTTTGCAATTGTATGAATTGAAAAGACCTTGCCGAAAACATGTTCGCCAACCCATCTGTGTTCTTATTATAAATGGGAATTTTCGGAATAATGGTAATCGTGCTACTTGCATATTTTGCGCATCCAAATGTAGTCAGTCGTGAGTGCTAAGATCTAGAGATGGGGTATCAAGGTCTGATTTGCTCATATTCTATGCTAAAAAACCGAGAAACAGTATACGTGAACCGTCAGCAATAGGCATATCACAGAATTCTAAAATTATTCGGAGTGAGTGTTTGTGCATACCCTTATAACATCTGAGAGTATAATATGGTAGGCGCTGATAGCGTTAAAGTGCAACGTGTCCATGGGTTTGGGCTGATTATGGGACAGCTAGGAAAGTGCAATTTATGTGCTTGACAGTGTTAAAAACCTGGATTAGTAAAGCTAGATTCTTCGTCCTGCGGGGCAAGTGGATGGAATAACATCCAGGTTTTAATAATAGTATGTTACGTGACTGATGCCTCGCTGTCACGCAAACACTTGATGGTCTGCCCCAATCGTTTCGATATGCATTAAGCTTCAGCCAATCAGTCAGACAATCAGGATAGATACTTAATAAAAGAGCTTAAATGGCATTGAGTAGTATCGATATCTTCAGCAACCTACAAGAAGCATCCTGTGAATCCAGCACGGTTAATTCCCAAGACATCTAAGCAAGTTGAATGCATTTATTTCCGTCTTTTGCCTTTATTTTGTCTAGTGGAAAAGAAGCAAGCACAGGCTTTGTCAAAAATCATACAGGTATATTTTCATGCTGCACCAGTATAACTCATCTGCACAAGCGGTTGAGTTGGACGGCATTGAAGGAACTGTTTCATTACACCGTGCAGTCAGCCAAGGAAGACATCGAAAACCGCCTTGCTTTTTTCACTCAGGTGCTAAGAACGTGGAAGGTGCTAAGAACATCCAGTCCATGTCAAGGATCTCCAGAATGTTGGATAACTATTTGGCATCAGCTAAAGGAGTTTCATCGTAGACGGAGTGATGCGATTGCGTACGAAGAGGAAACCAGCGGGATGAAATTAAATAATAGCAGCCAATTACTGCAACATCTGATAGGAAGAGACTGTAGGATGTGACTCTGTGGACTCAGTATCTTCACCCACAGCAGTCAATATTTCCACTTTTTATCTTATAATCACAGTGACACCCTTGACATGCTTTTCTCTGCTTCGCCATACTCAATCAGTTTTCTTCAATTACATGACGTCACACGTTTGGCTCTCGGTGCAGTGACTGACGTAACGGGTTCACCCAAACCATATGTGTGGCGTGGCCTCGTGCAAGTTGGGCGAACAGACCCAAATTTTACAACCACTCGGTGTGATGTCACATGATCAGCTGTTCAGCTGTAAACCGACTGACCTTGCACAAGAAAACGTGAACGCAAAGACTGATCTGACGTCTGTTTTTAAATATAGTAAGCCATGCGAATTCGGTCAATTAATATAGCTTTGCTACTTAAGAGCGTTTTGCCAACAAGACATCTTTTTTGCTTGACAAACCAAAAACCGATGCAGTATTCAGGACTGTTTCTTTGTATATCAGCGTCCTACCGGATGAGGATGAATTAAAAGCGCCCAAAGATACATGGGGAAGTCGCATGATTGTTAGCAAATATTTCATAGCCCGGGCTAGTGAAGCATATTGTGACATAGATAATCAGCACAAAAGCTCTCAGGGCGGGTCTGGAAATTGAGCGATTAATTTGTAGAATTACAAGTCAAAAACTACGCATGCTATAGTGCCTTTCTCCTGATGTGCCTTAGCAACACATTTTCAAAAACTTGGTCACTTAATCACACTGCGCACGATAAGGAATAAAATAATCTTTAAGCAGTAGCGCGAGCCGAACAATGGACTAACCCCTGAACTACATCACACAGAATGAGACCTTATTTCCCCTGTAAAATGTACACTACTTGATACAGCCTAAGGAGTTTCTGTTGAGGAAGGCTGTATGCTCCATAGTGAACCAATATGTCCAGAGGTCATTGGCTACAGGATACTACTTAATAGCAGATAGTGCTTGTCTTCAATGAAACATATGAGCCCAATTATATAAACATCTGTATGTGTTGCCTACCTGAGTGCTCGCAACAATAAGGTCATTAACGCTTCGGTGATGCACATCGAGGGAAATTCGCCTGAACACCTCTCCTATAAGGACCAATACTAGATCAAAGCAACGATTTGGTAGATAGCCTTGATTACATCATCCATGGATAGAACACCTAAATGTATACCGACTTTCGCATCATCCCAATCGGTGTAGTAATTCATTTGTTTTACCACAAAACTACGACTTACCGGAATCATAGAAATTTGTGTGCGCAGCTTCAGCAGCCTTATTGTAATCTTTCGATACCCAGTAACGTTCAAAAATCACGCAGATGGAGGCTAGGATTGCGCCTATCCCACACAATGCGGTCACAGTGATATCCACAACCAAAAGACTCGAATTCACAGAACGAGAATTTCGGATGTCTGAAGGAGTAAAAGGGATATCCGTGCCTGTCTCACAGTCCATTCGCCAAGTAAGTGAAGCGGGTCATCAGACTGGGATTTAATGTATTCATCAGTAGCCTCACAGTCAGTCGAATAAACGCGTGTGCGTCCTCCAAGAAAACGTGATTGCTCATCCAGGTCCTTGACAGATTCACAAACAGATTAGTTGGCAAGCTGTCTGGGTTGACCAATGACAATGTGCCTCATTGGCAGAACTACTCCGATTCGTTCGTTGGAAGTCTGATGTGGGTTGATAGTTTATTACAGGAATATTTGCTTTAACAGTTGTATTTCAAGCGTAATGCTTGCTGGTAGTGCATTAACCGGTGCATTGAAAAGTTAACGTCGACCTCATTTATACAAGCTTTGTGGTCAAGAAATTCAAAACGTTACGACATTTTAGTTTAATTAGGTATCTCGTTTAACTTCTCGTACGGTTCACCTCACACTGTCAGTCTATGTGGAACTGATTCAGAAAATAGGAAGCATGGGGGTCAATAATATAAGTTTCGAATCTTGTTGTGCGTGAAATGAGTGCGTCCTGTGGAGCAATAACCGGAAAACTGAGCAACAGAACTTGAATGAAATAAAACGATCGCTGCACAGATGATGTGTTCATTAGTGTTCTCTGATCTGTTCAGTCACTAAGTGTAATGCGTCTTAATCTATTTTATCTACCAGATAACGAAAGGGGCTGTTTTCAAGTGTTTTTCTCATGCTTCTAATTTATTCACTTCTGACGCTAGAACAAAATCTCCATTTGGTATCAAAAATTGTAAAGATGTAGAAGATACTTAATGCAATGTGCCTTGAAACCCCTAGAAAATCTAGGAAAAACCTGACCATCCAAGTAATTCAAGGCACATTAAGAGTGATTCTTAGGGCTTTCTAGGGCAGCGGACAGACTTTGGACGCCTAATCAGTAAAGTCTCAAGGAAATGAAAACATCTGTGGCTACCTGCTTGGTGCTAAGACCTGCAACGATGAGTCAATTCCGCATCTGTTACCTGTACTGATGAGAAGACTAGCGATCAGCGATATGATCCTGGGTTCGGTCGGCGTTTTTTTAGTCGGCCGACGTGGTACGGAGTTATTTTCGGCACCGGTTTCTTCGCTCGTGTTTCAAGCCACCTACCGATTTTATCCATTTACTTAGCATGGCAACTGTAATGAGTATATATTATTTTTTGACTGTCGGTGGTTATGGAGCATGCTTCTGTGATTTCTCCTACAACTATGCTGTGCTATAAGTCCAGTGAATTGATACTTTAAGTGTCCATGAAACTAGACTGAGATTATGATTATTGGCGTCAGAAAGAGCAAAATAAATGTTTCCGGTACTGCAAATGATAAATCTGGTTCGTCACTCGGAACGAGGTGCACATTAATGAAAAGATCAGAGTCATTATTTGACCGCAGCCCAACTCAGTCTCCTTCATTAAAATAGCCGAGGTGCACATCTGTCTAGATGTCCATTATAGACACACGTTTCTCCCATACTGCAAACACAACTGTAAGTTTTACAACTGGTCCTGTCCATTGAGAGACATGGTATGGTATTTTCGGTGTTCAAAACATCCAAAAAATAAAGTCTGGTACCCTGGCAAGCTTTACGGATGAAAACGTTCTATGACAGAGTGAACTGAATCAACTGAACGCATGGAGCCGACAATCACAGGGGTTGACATCCTTTGAGGCGTTGGGTACCAGTCTTCTACACCCACTGGATGCTCAAATGGACACTGAGTTTTCCTGGGATTTATTAATCAGTCATATATTTTTTATAAATACACAATCGTTCCAAGCCATATTATCATTTATACAGCGCGTTGTTTTACGCAATTTTATGTGGAACGTGTGGGTATGGTACGTCCATGGTATGAAATATTTTATCAAGCACCTACTTCTCGTTCCATTGTTTAATGATTCCTAGTGGAGGTAGATCAGTGCTCGTCAAAAGTGTCGGGACTTATCACGTACAAACTTCAAGCTTGTTTCCTTTTCACATGAATACCTCACATTTATTACAGCCTAATAACTGCTGTGTGTAATCCAAGAAGTTTAAAAGGTTTCAGCAGTGCAGTTCAAGGCATTAATGAACGCAAATCATTCAAATAGGGGTTGGGAACATTTATTTCAATCGTAAAAAGTAACTTCTATTATGAATCCGGTATAATATTTCCCGTTGCAGTTCTCGGCAACTGATGGCGAGGCAGGTTAAAGCCGGAGACTCCTATTCAAACTCGCTATCAGAGACATCGAAACCCGTTTGGGTAGGCATCGTGCTAATAGATGGCCTTGCGGATTATAACTGATGGTAGCTGAAGACGAGTGGCAGTCGAAAAGGCAGCAGTGAGAAACAGAATAAGAATGATCCGTTTTCCTCAACTTCAACGCCTGACCCCAAAGATAGGAAAGATACACATTACGGCGAATAATTCATACAGGCGAGTTGAATGTGGCTCATCCAGTACTTGAATAAGTAGTGTTCATCGGTTTATTCAGTTGCGCTGTTTATATTTTCGAATTCATTGGGTTCCACACAGCGGTAGATTGCAAGTGAACGATTAGAAGCATGCGAATAATTCTTCAGGTACTATACATAAAAGATTATGTTAAGTGGAAAATGGGAAATTTTGTTTATTTTGGTGTTGAATCACATTAGGTGTGTGCATTATGCGAATGTGCGTCCAAGTGTTCTGAAAACGATATTTTCCTTAGTTTATTAACGTGAGTTGTGCGGTATGTACAAATTACCTTCTACAACGAAAACGATTACTATTACTGTTCGACCCACATTATCCTAACTTTTCGATGGTCAAACTGGACTTTCAAATAGTGTTAGAGGTTTTTTCGAAGACCACGAGTGATAGGCATCGCAATCTTCGGTAAGTACAATGCAGTATAATGAAACAAATCACACTACGTGGTGCAATATATCAATTGGTACCAATGATTTGAACGTTTTTAATGAGTTTTATTTTATATCCAAGCGTGTCTGGAACAGTGGGGAAATAAACAAAACCCAAATAATGGTCGACGAATACCGGTAAAATACGCCTTATTTATTGTCCCATTAGTAGGTATTTTCCCAGCACGCAGACTTATTTTTATGCCAGGTAATCTATAGATGTCCCATTCATTTATTTCGTTCTCGGTAGTTCTTCTGATAAATTTGTTTATTAAATTACAAAACCATTTAAATGGTGTGTCTCTGAGATTTGTTTTTGCAAAACGAGAGAGTTTAGAGTGCGTGCCATCCAGAAATTGCTGAAGGTATTGAGGCTAATCTTTTTGAGGGACGAGAATCTGTGGATTAGAATAAGACATCTGAGTGGCTGCTCCCAGAAGAACAACACAGGTAATCTATTTTCCACTAATGACTATACCGTCCGTTATGTGCGGGCTGGGTTCGGGTCAAATTATGGTAAAACTCAAATATTGGAGATGCCTCTGCATCTGGGTTGCGTCCACGTAGTCAATATAAACGGGCAGCGAAATTATTTTCATTGGTATGAGTGACAAGCTGCATCCGGGCCTTGAGCGTTTCTCGGTATATACCTGCCATCGCTACCAAATATGCCGTTGGTCAAAATTTATTCGTAATATTTGAAAACGCTCTCTGATACGTTTGTGGCCACTAGAAAACCAGTGTCTTGTTGAAGATTTTCATCTAGCTATAATGGCTCGTACTGCAAGTGTTCGTTTTTCGGTTGAACTTTCTTCTGAACTCGCTTTCACCTCTATTCAGCGTAAGTTTAGTATGAAAGCGATTGATTCGTTTGTGCTTTGTTTATCAAAACCGGTAAGCTTTTACGGCAGAGTACACCATTCAAAATATTTTGGGTAAAATAAATCTTCATAGACCAAAAAATGTATAACGAATTGGTGTGTACGGAAACCCCTACCCCATGACCAAGTTCCGTTTGAGGAATTCAGCTCAAGTATCTACTAACCCAACCTGATTGTTTGTGAAGTCGGTGAGCTGATGCAAACGAAGCCTTAGGATATGAACTAAAACGTGAGCCCCGGGAAAGTTCACTACATGATTATGGATGATTACTGAGCCTCAAGTAATAATACGATTTGGTTTAACATGCAGTGTAAACATTTCAGGTTGTCATATTGTTCACAGTATACTAACTTTGTGTCACATCACTCGCCAACAGCAATGGCGCAGTTTGCTGGAAGTGGCTACTTGATAGATGTTGCCTCGATCTTTCTAGGTAATCCATTTCTTGTCGGCAAAATCCAACGACTCATTGAACATGCACGGATAGCAGTATTTAGGACTGGAAACACAACCACGGCAGTGTCGTTACTTGGCGCATAATGAATGAGTAAATATAAATATGCTCATCAGCGTTGTTTTCACAGTGTCAGAATTTTGTTGAGCAACACTGGTTCGACGCTCCGTAAAACGTGAAAATCCCCATTGAACCTACTGAGTTTGATACAAATAAATATACGCACATAGCGTCTTTTCATACACATTTTGGCGGAGATTCACTGCCGTACGCAGTCGTCAAAATGAAGCGGATGTGCAAAATAGGGAAAAAGTGGTAGAATCTTTATTGTAAACATGCACCAGGCCGCCTCATGCTTCAGTCGCTACGATATTTGAAATATCGCGATACATGTATAATGGTAATGTACTACTCATAAGGTTGTTGAAAATCCATCGACAGCCCACGACCGGTTTCCAGGTGAGTCTCTCAAAAGAACCAAATTGGTTTGCAGATGAATGTATATTCGCTAAAGTTATTGATTGGTTCATTCAATGTACAGGCCTATATATACGCTCTGTTTACTGCAAATGTTGGACATATTGTTATGAGGTCTATTCACTGAAAAATTTAAAAATTATAGCTGGATTATATCTATCAAACGAAAGCAGTGTTCGATGCAGCAACCTACCTTGAATTTCTCCCTGTGGCTTCCTTTGTTCCCAAATCTTTCTTGGGGACCAACCGGTGGAACCAGCCCGCGATTTTCAATCAGTCCGATGTCCCATTATCATACGTATGAAACTCGTAAAATATAGACGCACTGATGTTACCTGACGACGGCAAAAAGC